ATGTAACAAAGTTCTTGAACAAATAATAAACAAGACTTTAAATGTACTCCTGGATACACGCTCTGTCATTAATTACTGATCTTATCAATCAAAAACAATGAATTGGTTTGTTAAATGCAGCTTGTAATCTGTATATTTATATACCGTATATCTGGTTATTTACTTTAGCATGTCAATTAACTGTCTGTGTCATTTGTCTTGTTCTATTTACATCAATACTAGAACTGTTGCAAGACCAGATAGGTTTTGTGCCAATTTATTTATAATAAGGCCAGACTATTTTTATTCCTTGTTTCTCGAGTTTTTATAAGGCAATTTTTTTGAGGAGGGCGGAAAAAACAATATATTAATTCTTTTTTTCCATTAGATTTGTGTGATTCGCAAAGAATTGTAGTTGAGATCATTGATCGGAGAGAAGAAATGAAATAAAAGTTGGCGGGCACAAAAAATTACGCTGAAATAAAATTTTCATTTTCGGCTCCTGTTCATTTGGCAGGCTCGCGAAACAAGGGATAACAAAAGTCTGGCCTAATTAACCTAATTTGCATAATGATTTACCATTTTTAGCAAGTGGAAAATAAGCTCTCTGTAATTTCTGAATACAAAATCAGTATTTAAAATATTATTTCATAAAGCTTTTTAACAATTGGGATTTTTTTTAAATGTAATGGATACCAACATTAGAAAAGGAAATGTTGTGTAAGCCTGGTATATGCACAAAGTTTGTTATTTAATATATTTACTAAACAAGAGATCACAAATTGTGAGGTGTGTATGATAGGTATTTAATTTCAATAAACATTCTTCAAATATATTGTTGTGTTTGATGCTACTTTATGTTTATTTTTTGTCTAAATTTTAGACATTGAAAGTCTAAAAGCACTGCTCAAGTTTTATATAGACTACCTGTAAATTGTAAGCATTCATACAATGCAGTGGACTATGGTCACATCTATAAATAGCACTTTGTATATATACATCTGTAATATCCGAAACTAAAATATGGTGGTAGACTGGAATATGAACAACAAATAATTTAGAACTGTTACACATGTCCTAGGACAGGAATATAGTATTAGGACATTTCAAATGTTAGCGCCCTCTCGTGGTGAAAATATAATTCATTCGCGTATACAGCTTATCAGTAATGTCAAGTTTTTGTTAAAGAACGGTTGTCGTCGCGCCGCGTTCTGTTCGACGTGAGAATAATAGTATACAACGCATGTAAAATACATTGTTTATTCACGTGAAATTCGAACACGTGCTGCGCAACGACCACTGCCCTTTAATAACTATTGAAAACTTTAGTATGATTCACTGTTTAATTAGATTCGCAGCTTAGGCAAGACTTGAAGTCTATTTTGCACATTATAATACTAGTTATTTGCAGATGCTGGCTCACGTTCATCTTGAATTTTCGAGTTATAATGTTCCAGCTTGAAGAGAAGGATCGGAGGATACGAAACCGTTCAATTGGACGGTGACTAGCATCCATCATTACATGGGTCGAAACGCATGCGAGCCTGGTATAAACATCATGAATAAATAAACCTTGACAAATATTTATAGAAAACGCGAACAAAATCAGCTGTGGTCGTCACGGTACCATTTATTGCGTGGTAATCTTTCCTCGATTAAAATTCTTAACGATGGGTTATGCATTGGTTTCACTGTGTTTTTTCCATGATGATATAATCATGTTTTTGTTTGCTTGTACATTTCGCTCGATCCGAATCAAAAACCACAGTCACTCGATCCGCAAACACTTTACATTTTTGTTGTTTCAGGGTATTAATATGCTAGGTACATTGGTGTCGGGTATGGTGCGACATCAAGTAGACATAGTGATTTGTACCTCGGGGGCTTATTGCGCTTGTGGATTTTAACCCGGCTGTTCACTAAGATAAATTTTCAATTCCGTCTTTTCAAAGTTTCGTTCATGTCATATTTGCAGCGAAGACAACGATTTTTAGGAACAGACCGAGAAAATATGTGATCTTTTTTTTTTTCGCAAACTAGTGTACTCGTCCCATATTACGGTGTGTGCATTAACCAAAATTAAATCTCTTTCTAGACAGGATTGCATCGGGTCACGGGCAGCGTTTTAGCCAGCCACCAGTCCACCCACCAAACGGACTGCCAACTTTGATTTGGGACTGGCAACTTTTTCCCATTTTTCTGTTTTTTCCTATTGTTCTTTGATAATTTTACCAAAATAAATTCAAAACCATCTACGTTTTCATGAAGTTGAATTGTTTTGGACTGGCAGTTCCTGGCTAATAGCCTGGTCACGGGAAGCACGTGATGAAAGTGATTATAATTTCGCATACATGTCATACACTCGGTCGTTCTGTTGAATATTTGCGGATGCTAGGTAACCGTTATTATACGGTGGCATCGCATTTATTTCTAGGAGATATAGCGTTTCAGATAGTATTTCAGGCGTGTGAGCCGGGGTGTGTGTTACGCGTACCAGTGTTCTTATTTTCTACAATCTCTCACTCTGTTCAGGAAATCATTGAGAAAGGATACTTTGTCCGAAACGTCTGGTTACAATTCAATATTACCGAAAACTACGATTACCTACTATTATTTCCCATATAACATAGGAAGTATACGTAATGTTTGCTCGGACGCAGTTAACACGAGTAATTAAAAATAGTCGTCTTAAATTCGAAATGCGTAATGTCCATACAGAAAACATATCAAGAATTTGGGTGCATCTCGAATTAAATTTTAATAAAAAATGCTTCACATCAAATATTGATTGTTTAATATATTCGATCATCGATCAGAGAATCCGGAGGGCGATTTGTTTGTTTTTTCATGATACCCTAAGATGTTGAAAACTCAATCATAACCGAATCCACAGTTATTGTATGTTATATAGTTATTAAGTCATTCTTATGCGGATATCTTGCAAACACAGTAGCTATTGAACTTATTGTAGTCATATATTACTTGTCCAAGGCTTAAAACAAAATTGTACCCCAATACAACTTCCAATATTGCAAACATGTAATTAAATTGTTAATTTAAGTGATATTGTGCACTCCATATGTGAATATTTGTTTTTATTTAGAAATTAAGCAACGCGATCACTCTTACAGCCGCCGGTTTCCAACTGTGTTCATTGTGATCAACTTTTAATCATGAAAACATGACGCCAATGTCACTGGTTATTTTTTAAAACTCCTCGTGTATATGTTATAATAACGCGCATTGCGCATAATGAAACACATGTCCCTCGTTGATTTGGACATAATACTGGCTATGCATGGTCAAATGTTTGATCCGTAAGACCACGGCTACTACTTTTTAGTAACCGTGGTAAGACCAGAGATGCTGACTGGTTGGTTCCATCTGAGACGAGAACTTCTTACCACGTGACTGAAGTCCTCCGATGCACAGGGCCACGACTGGGTATCACGCAAAGCCTGCAGTGCTTTAATATGGAGCTCAGCTGCAAGTCCACAGCAACAGGTTACCTGTTTGTCATAGACACTACAGGTTATTATATACACCATAGTCTTAACATCTTTATAGAGTTCTTTTGTTCAACGTTTCAATTTAATTGACTTTTAAACGGCTTCCTGTCACGTTGGCAAGGTCAATGACTCGTTTATCTGATCCATTGTCTTATTCTTATAACTGTCGGGCGCTACGTTTCTTGCAATCAAAACATTGCAACCGAACAATAGGACACCGGTGGGTGGGTGGGTGGTTGGTATTTGTTTGTTTACGTTTTGAACACCGGGTGTGTTACGTGGTGCGTGACACTTTTTGTCAAGCCACAACGCAGGCGCAACACGAGTCTCGTCCATCATCATGGCGTTATCAAGTAAAATACAATAAAACTTCGGGATTATACGATGTTGGGCACTTGCTGTTAAACTTGTGTTCTAATCTAACGAGTCCAGAATACGCCATTGCACCACACTCACTTGGGCTGCATTCCACGCGTTAATTCGTCCCCGGACGGGCTGCGAGTGTTTCATGATAAGGCCCGGTGATAAGGAAGCCGGTCGGATTTTGCATACAATGTACATTATAGTGACGGTAAAAATCGGCTACACGTTTTATGGCAGGTCACTGTACACACTTTATAAAACGTACAGGCGTTACATTTTTGTTTAACAGTTGGTCAAAGTTCATTGTCCTGGGTTCACTCCAAAACAGTAGTGCGTGGTAATGTTTTGCTTTTTTGCAACTGTATACGACAACTTTCCCCCGACTCTGTCTTCCATTAATTTTCAATGTACGCAGTTGCTGTGTAATTGGTCCGTATAAATATAGTAGTATAAAACATTATTGTTCTACATGTGAGTAATTTCCGTAATTTGTCGCCAAAAATATGGTATGTAAATAAATGAGCAAACGTACTCGTTGTGAAAGTCTGGCATTTCGCCAAGCGATGTGTGTATTTTAGGGTACGTATGTATGTGCGTGCTTTCTCTTTCCCGCGGAAAAAATAGTTTGCCCCGCCCACCTCCCCGGCTCACAACAATGCTTACTATTCCACAAATTTGCATACTTGCGTAACATGAAGTTGTTATTACGATCAGCCTTGACCACAAATCAAAACATTGGGTCTGGGTGCGGTGGTGTGGTAGTCGTCCCGAAGCACGATTTAAGTGTATATACGCATGTGTAGGCCGCGCATTCGGCTCATGTAATGCCCGATATGTTAGAGAATCTAGGCGCAAAAAACAGTGGGTAGCGATTCTGTGCACAACCCGTTTTTTATCATCTAGTGGAAACTTGTGTCAAACTATAGTGGCACGTGTATGTGCGTGAGACCATCACGCCATTGGCCGGGTTTCGTGTGATTGACAGGCGGATGACGTTATCGCCAATGAAATCAATGGTAGTATGGTAATTGTCGAACAAGCCGGGCTATGATAGGTTGCTCAGTTGTCTTCGTGACCCCTTATGACCTCAGCTACGTCACGCAGCAATATGCAGATCGCCAGCGAACTCATTATGCCACAGCTCGCAGAGAATTGAGCTCGAGTGGTTTTTCACAGCGTCCGTGAAATGCTGGATTGAGCAGACTGTCTTCGCAACGTCTGGGTTGTAATATTACAGCGTGTTTCGTCTCTGTTTTTAGTACGTGGTACATCAATATTTACCAGTACATGTAATTGTGTCAGTTTCGGTGGGAAAATGGCAGATATACTGGAGATCGACCCCGATTTTGAGCCGCAAAGTCGTCCGCGATCGTGCACATGGCCCCTCCCCCGACCCGATTTCAGCGCACAGAAACCATCGCCTCCGCCGTCGGATCAAGCAGCTACACCTGAGACCGAGATTCCACAGGAAGGCATCGAAATAAAACAAGATCAGAGTACACCTAGTCGTAAGAATTCTTCACGGAGGAATGCCTGGGGAAATTTGTCATATGCCGATCTGATCACCAAAGCTATTGAAAGTGCACCAGATAAACGATTGACCCTATCACAGATTTACGAATGGATGGTCAAAAGTGTGCCGTATTTCAAGGATAAAGGCGATAGCAACAGTTCGGCTGGATGGAAGGTGGGTTACTTAAATGACATCTAAACTTGTCTTGCCTCTGTATACTATTTAACATGTAACTGTTATGTGATAAAAATACAAAATGAGGCGGCGTTTCAGTGCATGGCAACCCCTTATACCATTGCATTGACAAGACGTGTGAATAGATTAAACTAGAAAGAAGTCCGCCATCTTGACCAGAGAAATGTTAACTCGTGCCTGGCTGAAATACGACCTCGGGCACTAATCTTGTATGATTGCATTGAATATTCTTTTGCAAAGTATTATTACTACACTGCATCTGCCGAAGGAGATCGGAATAAATCACTCTATGTTGTAACGTTGTGCAATCGTTGGTTTTATATTACACCGGCCGTGTTTTGACTTTTTTGAAAGAAAAAAATGTCTGTCACTCACACGCTTGCACGGGTTTCTTTATTTACATTGTCATAATATTAAAGCCCTTGCTTTATTTCCCTTCTCTGCAGAACTCTATTCGCCATAACCTGTCATTACACAGCCGTTTTGTCAGAGTTCAGAATGAGGGAACTGGGAAAAGCTCCTGGTGGATGATAAATCCGGACGCCACTAAGACTGGTAAATCGTCTCGCCGTCGTGCAACCAGCATGGACACCAGCAACAAACAATTTGAAAAGAAACGTGGTCGTGCCAAAAAGAAGGCTGCCGAACTTGCAGCAAAATTAGCCGCTGCTGGTGAACGGCCCAAGTGGAGTCCGCAGACCCCTGATGGTAGCGACACCGGTATGGTAGAGTCACCGCTGCCAGCTTTCCAATTAAGCCCAGATTTCCGCCCTCGAACAAGTTCAAATGCAAGCAGTTGTGGCCGCCTATCCCCCATCATGGCTAACCAAGAATTGGATGACATGCATGACAACGAAGTGCCACCGATGTCTCCTGGGCCAATTGACTGGAACAGTACAGTGCCAGTCTCAAACTACCCTGGAGCAGAATTGTTACGTCAAACGACTGACCAGTTGACAAGTGCATTAGCTGAAACGATGACACTTAATTCTCCAGATCCAATGACTATTGACCAGTTGACACTGTCACCTCAGCCGCAGATCCAGCCAGCGCAGTCGCCAAGTCCAGGATTACCGGCAGTGTATACCAATCAGAACGGCAGCACATTCACACTATCAACACAGGCGCCGACTTTTGGAACCCAAAATGTCACATTGGCTAATACTTCTTTGTTCTTACCTTACAACACACAATCCGGCCTGTGCATGACTCAAGCTGGACAGACGTCACCATCTTCCTTGGGAATGATCTCTGAAAACCCATCCCCGCCACAGCTCAGCATGTCTAACATCCAACAAGTCTCTCAGACCCCACTGAATGAAGCCATGATTTCCCAAAATGATCCTATCCTACCTTCGGACTTGATCATTTCACAACAAGATCCCATGCTTTCGCAAATTTCTGGAAATGACTTGATGCTGCAGTCAGATCCTATGTTATCCATGGCACAGGAACAGAAATATGTTCCCAGTCGCTTGAATTTCAATATACCTTCTAGCGTCAATCTTACCCAACCTAATGTGATGACAGGATTTGGAAACAACTTGCAGCCATTCCAACAACAGCAACAACAACAACAACATAGTCGCTTACTGGCGCAGCTGATAGGTGGAAATGCCTTACAACAACAGTTGCAGCAGCAGCAGCAGCAGCAGCAACAACAACAACAACAGCAGCAGCAGCAGCAACAACAACAACAGATGTTGTCTAACCAGCGCACAAATTTTAGTATGCTGCAGAGTATGAACATGAACATGAACATGCCCGGATTGGCCACTGACCAGCTGACAAATATGCATGATAAATTTCCGAGTGACTTGGAACTGGACATGTTCAATGGAGGACTTGAGTGTGATGTTGACAGTATTATACGCAATGAACCCGATATCACTGAAACTGCTGCTTTGGATTTCAATAATTTGGAGGGAAATACCTCATCAACAATGGGAATGAATCTCACGTTCTCTACTAGTAGCGCTACATCTTCGTCTACCCAAAGTTGGGTACATTAACCAGGAAGTCACAATTAGTCGATAGTTAGGTAAGTCTATCTGCCAACTAATCAATTAACTATTTTGTTTGGAGGCCTTTTTTTGTGGGTAGAATCAAACAAAATCTGTACATGTATTATATTTGTTGAAAATTCATTTTTACTTCAGCTGTAATGTAAAAAATAGTCTTCATACTTTTCCATTCTATAACATGTCAGCAGATAGTATGAGTGATTACATTGTAAATTTATATAAAATTCAAAAAAGGTTCAATATTTCAATTACATAATATTGCAGTTATATTTTTTCACCAAAAATGTACATATAATCAGCTGCTGAACAAGCACTAACTTGGTTGACCCAATTAAGCAATTTAAAAATCACTCATCTCAATGCAAACACATGATTGTCACTGTTGCTATGATGTTGCTATGGGGCTGTAGCCTATACTGGCTTGTACATTTCAACAGTTTATTCACAAATATTGATTTTTGATGGCTTTATTCTTCAGTCTAAGAAAAAAATGGTCAGTGGTGGCTGTAGAAAAAACAATCATTTCAAGATCTGTAGTCATATTGTTCTGCCATGGTCACAGTACATTATGTGTCTATATATAGATGTGACAAAATCTCCCAGGGCATTGTTTCTCAAGTGGTCTTCTGATGTTTGAATGTGTGGACATTGTTCATTGGTCAATTTTAGGTTAATATCATCTGTAATGTTTAATATTTTTCTGTCAAACTACAATTAGTGTTGTCCCATTTACTACAGTTGGTATTCGGGGGAAGTGGTTTAATTCGGCTCATTGCCTAACTCTGCCAAATTATTTTTACTCAATTATTCATTTTTAATACAAACATAATGGCAATTACATTTTCACTTATACATTTCACAAATTATATTATTTTTTTAAAGGTGAAATGAAAAGAAAAACTCCATCGTACACCCTCCAAAATATTTAACCAGAAATAACCTTTTCTCAAGTGGATTTTTCTTACGGTAATTAATGTTTTGGGCTTGGGGTTTGTAAAAAAATATAAATAAAAACTTTTTTTTGTGAAATATTTTACATTTTATATGATAAATGATTATCAATTAAAGAAAACATAATTTTGATGTTGGGTTTATTTTGATGTAAAATTGTATAGAAATATAATGGCACTTATATAGTAAGAATGTTTATAGATATATATATATATATAAAGTAATGCTTTTATTTCAATTATGGATCAGCTTTTATTTGCAAAATTGTAGTTTGAATGAGTTTTAAGCAGACAAATATATTTACAAAAACACTTAACTTTTCTTCTTTCTTTGTATGGGGAATGTACTAGTGAAGATATAGTCGGTTACAAAGCCTAAAATTCTTTGTTATAGTGCATTTCATTGACGTAAAAGGATCTAGGATGTGGAATGTGTTATGCAATGCAATGCAATGCTTACATGTACAGTGAATAAGTGATGCAATGCTGGCATGTACAGTAAATATGTGATGCAATGCTGACATGTACAGTAAATAAGTGATGCAATGCTGACATACAGTGAATAAGTGATGCAATGCTGACATATACAGTAAATAAGTTATGGAATGCTGACATGTAGTGAATAAGTGCTGCAACGCTGACATGTACAGTGAATAAGTGATGCAATGCTGACATGTACAGTGAGTAAGTGATGCAATGCTGA